TTTTTTCTGCCACATATACAGCTCAATTTATCAGGTTATTAGACTGAGTTTAATGCTTCTGTGCCCATTGCTAGATCACAGCCTCTCTTAAATTAAAAGAAACTAACTGCATGAGATCACAGTTATGTGTGAACATGGGTCAAATTAGTCATGATCATCGTGATTTCTCAGTTGTGGAGACTGCGTAGGTGAATTTGAGGTGACGTGGGCTGCAGGAAAGAGATGGCTATTAGCTGGAGTTCAGTTAGGAATCTCCACCATCTGAGACCACAGCAGAAGAGGTCTTCCATGTGGGGGCTGATGGTTCGTTAAAGCTTGTTGACTTAGGAAAGGTAATGGTGTTCTGTGTGGTAATGAGGCTTATTGAAAGATAATGGATTGGCTCTTAGGAGACTTTTAAACATGCTTTATGGATGTGGATGATCAGCATTTTTACTAGTCATTTTTAAGCTTTACTTGTGGATGTTAGATCTTTTAGAGCTTTTGGTCTGTTGGATAAAGTGACATTCACAAAGAAGAGGGTAAACTGGCCATCCTTCACCCATCAACATCATGGGACTCTTATAGCCAGTATGGCTATTGCGAGTGGAAGATTCACATTTAGAGTTGGAAAGCTAGAAAGCTAACCCATGTATTTCCTTTATTTATTTTTTTATCTGGTTTTAACACTATGTTTCAATTCTGTGACTTATATTTTATAATTCTATATTTTATTTCTGGAATTCTGCCTTTGAGTCTGATGACTCTGAGGTTCTTGGAATTGTTATCAGGCAACGAAGAATATTTAAAATCATGATAATAATGAGACCATATTTTCGTGTATCCCAAACAGTTCTGTACAAAAAAATGTGTGAGGGGCCTTTAAAAAGTTCATGAATAGGAGGCAACTTGGTGGCGTAGCGAGTTAAGCTTCTGCCTGCAGTGCCTGCATTCCATATAGGTAGGGTTCAAGTCCCAGCAACTCCACTTATGACCCAGTTCCCTGCTTAGGGTCTGGGAAGGCATTGGAGGTAGGCCCAATTTCTTGGGTTCCTGAACCCACGTGGAAGACCTGAAAGAAGCTTCTGGCTGCTGTCTTCAGATCAGCTCAGCTCTGGCCATTGAAGCCATTTGGGAAGTGAACCAGCAGATGGAAGATTCTTCTCTGTGTCTTTACTTCTCTCTGTGTAACTGTTTTACCAATGAAAATAAATAAATCTTTAAAAAAGTATGTAGGAATTGGCATTATGGTTCGGTGGGTTAAACTAGTGTTTTGGATGCTTGCATCTCATGTTAGAGTGTGGTTCAAGTCCTAGATACTCCACTTCCAATCTAATTTCCTGTTGATGTGCCTGAGAAGTAGTGGATGGTGTCTCAAGTGATTGGGTTCTTGCCATCCACGTGGGAGACCTAGAGGGAGCTCTTATTTTTGGTTTGGTCCAGCCCCACCTGTTGCATGCATCTGGGGAATGAACCAGCATGTAGAAAATCTGTGTCTGCCTTTCTCTGTGTGTCACTTTGCCTCTCAAATAAATAAATATTATTAAGTAAGCATTTAAAAAAACTAATAGAAGAAAAATATATTTATTTAAATATAAAAGTTTTTGAAATCTGTACGCAATTTTCTCATAATTGATATTTTCCATGAAGTTTTTGAACTATCTTTGTGTACATTAATATATCCAACTCGTTTCTGGAACTCATTTTAGAAAAGCATATATTGTTTTTTCCACCTAGAAGAAGTTGCCTCCATAATGATTGTGTGAGACAAGTTACTCCTGGTTACCCTTTGCCACTCCTGCCATCCTTTGGAAGTGGGGGGGGGGGGGGGACCTAGATGAGGAAGAGGGATCCTTTCCGGAGTGGAGAGGGTAAGGTTGAGGAAGGGAAAGTAAGCCAGACTAATGACTTTCAAACATTGACCTGTTATTACTAGCTGGGGCAATCTACCTTCACTTGAAATTCCTGAGGTTGAGATACACCTTTTTCAAAATATTTCCATATGGGGCACAGTTTCTAGTATGTGACAAGTCAGTGTTTGCGTAATGAACAAGCTTAGAGATTAGAGCTAGGCTGCCTAGGTCCCAAAATTGGACTGTCAGAGCGTATGTGATCTGGGGCAGTTTATTTGCTCAGTCGCTGCCGTACCTTCCTGCTTTATAAAACAGGCATAATACGATACTTCCTTATAGTGTGATTGTGAGGATCAAATGACTCCTAATATGTAAAGTACTTAGAAAAGTGCTGAGTTCACAGTATGATAGAAGTGTTAGCTATTGGCATCATCTTTACTTTCATTATCCTCATCTTGATCTTCACTTTCATTAATTGGAGAATATTTTAAAAGGACCTAAATTGGCAGAAGCCCCACTTTGGTCAAACCAATTTTGGAGAATATTTTAGGGCATCAAAAGGTGCAAAAACGCGTATCAGAATCTTGAGTAGCTGAGAGTAATTTCAAATTTATTTTTGCTAAGAAATATTAAAACAGTTTTGCCAACATAAGAATTTTAGGAATAAACCCAGTGAGCACAGACATGTGTCACTGATGAGCTGTTGGGGGCAGGGTGGAGGGGGTCAAGACCCCAGCTCAACACCAGGAAACCCCATCTGCCCTTTGGTTCAGGAGCTTTGAGGCTGACTCCTGCACTTTGTCCCCATTCTTGTTTTCATCCTTTTGATCCTATTTTTTAAAAGAATTGTGCTATTCTGTTATGTTTTATGTATCTTTGTAAGCCACTTTAAATCCTGTCTGGAACAGTGTATAAATAAATATCTTTTAAACTGATCATATCTAATTACTAACGTTGACTTAATATTTATGCTTGTCAGCCTACCTCCATGTGGAGAGGTGCCGCAATTTTCCATCTGGGCAAGAATACTGATTAGATTTCTCAAATTTCATAGAGAGATGTCAAAACAGCCATATGCTCTTATATTTTTCCAAAGCGTATGGTTAATAGTCATGAAAATTAAACATCTACCAATATTGAGTTCTTCCTCTAGGCCAGGCTCTATGCTCTGCCTTTTACTTGTGCTGCATACTTGAATCCTCAAAGGACTTATGCAGGAACTCTGATTAATAGTCACCATTTTTGTAGATGGAGAAACAGATTCAATGAGTTTTAAAAATTTGCCCAAACTTCATACAGCTAAAAATGTAGTGAAGCAGTGATTTGAACCCAGGAATCCTGACCCCAGATCCAGTTTTAAATGCTGTTCTGCGCTAGTTTGTCTTTAACTAGGAATCGGGCCCATCAGAACTCCATGTCCTAGTGGGAGAGGCCTTATCTGTGTTATACGAGTGGAACATTCACAGTTCTGCATATTTTACCCTAATGTGTCTTCACTGTGCTCTGTATCTCTCCTGGCCTGTCCTTTTATCTGTCATTTTTGCCCTGGATTTATGCCAGAGCCTTCTCAAATTTGTATTATGCTTAACTGACAGAGTACTCTAACAAGCCCTTACCTTACCTTAGGCTTTGCAGTGATTCCTGTTGTGACAGGCTAACTGGCCATGTTTCTGAGCAGAACATAGCAACCTCCTGCCTGCGCTATCTGATCTAATCTCTATGTGCCTGTTGCACATTCTCCCTTAGCTACCCTCTCAGCATCCTGGCCTTGCTTGATCATATAGCAAGTTTCATGATGTCTCCTGCTTTTGTGAATGCTATGTACTCTGCCTGGAAAGTGTTATTTCTCTTAACTGATACACGTGGCTTTGTAATCAGTTCATGTCCTACTACTGAATATTCTCTTCCTTGATTCCCTTTCTTTAAACTGGATTAGGTGGTCCTCCTTGGTGGTCTCGTAATATCCCTTGCATAGATTTCTTTGCTTGCCATGTTTTTTTTATGATGAATGATTCAAGTATCTCCTTCACTAGAGTGTTAGCTCTTTGCTGGCATGGACTACTTTATAGTTTATCCTGAAATGGCTAGGACAACAGTTAACATATTGTAGACCCATAAAGCTACTGAGTTTTCTGTAAATAGTGCAAAACTTGTAACTCTAGGCCAGGGAAAGAGGTAGGATAATGAAGGCCCCAACCCATACAGACAGGTAGAGATTACCACTACCAGGATGAGAGAGAGAAAGAGAGAGAGGGAGAGAGAGAGAGAGAGAGAGAGAGAGAGAGAGAGAGAGATCTCAATCTCTGGGGCCAAATTTTATGACTTAATTCGGGAGCCCGATGGGGCTGTGTGCATGTGAGGGGAATGAATATGAGTATAGGGATTTGTATCCAAAGGGAACTGTGCAACTTTGGAGAAGGCAGACTTGGCAGCTCTGCAATTGGGAACTACATTGAGATTGTTTGAGTAGCCTGCACTACATATCTAAGACAGATAAGATTTTAATAAACATATTTGTAGTTTTCTAGGAGAGACAGCACCCAATAATTGAAAAGGAAAATTGATTCAATAACCAACACCGTGTTACGGTGCAAACAATTTATTGACTGTAAGCAATATTGCATGTTCCCTCTGATGTTAGCAGTAAGATGCTATCGACTCGAGCCTTTGTGTGTAGGTGGCTGGATCCAGACTAGGGGGTTTCAGGAAGCCCTGCCTCATGCAAAGCTTCCTTTTCCTTGTGGAGGTTCATTTTTCTTTTCTTTTTTTCTCTGGACTAGTTTTGTCATTTATTCATCAGTATTTCATTTTATTCCAGGCTGTGAACATTACAATTTTTAAATTTTTATTAAATTGATTTATTTTACTATTTTACAATGCATTTCCATAGGCTCTGAGATTTCTCTTCCCTCCTCCCCAAACTCCCACTCCACATTGATTTCCCCATACAATGCAACATGCATTCCTGCTTCCAAACACAAGATGGACTCCCAAAGAAACTGTCGGAAATGTGTAGACAATGGGATGCCGGACTGTCTTGGACACACTTAAAAGACTGATGGAATTGTGACTCCTTATGAAGGACTATACTATTGTAGCAACATGGGCAAAATCTGTCGGGGGGTGGGAGTTTTGGGGGGAATCCCAAATAAAATAAAATTTTATTGAAAAAATATGGAATGGTGCACAAAGTTGCATGTCATCCTTGTGCAAAGGCCGTGCTAATCTCTGTATTGCTCCAAATTTAGATTACATGCTGCTGAAGTAAGCACCATTTATTCTTTCAATTCTGCAAATTCACCACATGACTTGGGCTTGAGTGTGTATTTTCAGGTTTTAAAACTAATTGTTTTACCTTCTGGTTTTCAAATAGCTGAAATCACCCACCCACTCCACCATTTGGGTGGCTGCAAACTTTTACAGCTGTTTCATGTGTTTTGGAAACACATTCACGTTAATGAATTAGTTAAAATTAATTAATAAATTAATATTTTATATCAGTACTTTACATTGGTCTGCTGTAGATATTGTTATTGTCTAAATCACAATTAGATACTAGAGACTACTTTACAATGTGCCTTATATCAGCACAAATCCTTATTCATTTGGTGCACTACTTGCATCTCAGGGGAACTACATTACAATCATCAAATTCACTCAAATATTTTTTCTTATTTCATAATTAACATGTCATCTTTATGCTAGCAGAATCATGAAAACATATAGTAGCACTTGGTCAGAACAGTCTCCTTTAACTCTCCTCTAAGCAAAGGAATTCCTAACTTTTTTGATCACTTACACTTATCACCGAAAATTGTAATTATCTTATAATGTGTATATTTATTTATCAGTTATACAATTTCCACTGTATTATATTTTAAAATGCACAAAACATTAGGGTAAGAAATGAAATGTTGATATTGCAGTAACCTTTACTCTCATTTTGATAAGAGTACTGATGTTAAGTTTGTTTCATTTAAATAAAATTGCAGTTTTTGATACAGATGCTTCAGATTTGATTCAAACTTGTGAGTTTTTATACTTGATTTTGGTGACTAATATCTCACAACATATCAGCCTGAAAATTAAGGATGTGTATTATTAGATGCATTTATTAAATAACCATGCTCACTATAGTTCCAAGATTCAATTGGCAAAAATTTTGTTGCCATTCCCTTTTCCCTGCTCTGGGCATATATTTTTACTTCTGTATTTTTAACAATTGCTCAAGGTTCTCTGGAATTCTTCATTTATAAGAGTTAGAAGGTGAAACACATCTTATAGGCAACAAAGTCGTATAATAGAGGAAACATTTTAAACTGGCTCTGTATTGCTCATTTTCTGTTTTAAAACAGCCTTGAAGTGGAAGGGGACATCCCTGAGCCTGTGGAACTGTATCATGAAGAATATTATAATACACTCTTGACATGTGTCAATTGGGTTAAAGCCTCTGAACTTTCACTCAAATATTTTTATAAGTATTCTGCAGTTGTCAAATTTATGATTACAAGTAGAAAGTTTACTTACATTTAATCTTAAAAATTTTACAAACCAGTATTATTGAGTTGTAATTGTTACACAATAAAAATACATATTTCAAGTGTACAATTTAAAAGAATTTTTTTTCTTTGAATGATAAAGTTACAGAGAGAAAGAGCTCCATTTGTTTCAATGCATGGCCAACATTTGACACTTTGTTAATTTTAACCATTCTAATAAATGCAGAGTGATATCTCGTTGTGGTTTTATTCTGTATTTCCCTAGTGATTAATGCTGTTGAGCTTCCATTAATGTATTTATTTGCTGTTTGAACAAGTTCTTTGGTGATGTGTTTATTAATATATTTTTAAACAAAGTTTGATTTTGGGGCCAGCTCAAGCAGGCTAATCGTTAGCCTGCAGCATCAGCATTCCGTATGGATGCCAGTTCAAGTTCTGGCTGCTCTACTTCCCATCCAGCTCCCTACTTGTAGCCTGGGAAAGCAGTCGAGGATGGCCGAAAGTCCTGGTACCCTGCACTGTGGGAGACCTGAAAGAAGCTCCTGGCTTCAGATCGGCTCAGCTCTGACCCTTCTAGCAATTTGGAGAGTGAACCAGGAGATGGAAGGTTTCCTCTCTGTCTCTCTGTTTGTCTCTGTGTAATTCTGCTGTTCCAATAAAAATAAATAAATATTCAAAAATATCATTTTCTGTTACCCTCTATTTCTTTCAGCTATAAGTCCGTATTAAATATACTATTTGCCAATATTATCTCCCATTATGTGGCTTTTTGGTTGTTTCTGAAATCATTTCCCTTGGTTTTAAATGTTGATGAGGTATGCTGTAAGAGATCTTTTCATTTTCATAATATCTAGTTTTTCCTTCATCACTGTTGAAAAGATGTTTTCCCGCTGATCTCCGCTGAATCTTTGTAAAAAATAACACATTTGATTATAAGCATAAGAATTTATTCTTATATTGTGTATTCTGTTTTATTGATGTGTTTGTCTTTATGCAAATACATCAATATGTACTATTGCTATTTTCCTTGAAATAATTATTTTAAAAAGATATTTAGATAATAAAAAGTATATTTACCATATAGTTACTATTCCATATTCTCTTCATTGTTTTTCATTAACCCATATTTCTATATGGTGTCATTTTCCTTCTGCTAGAAGTACTTCCTGTAGCAATTTTTAGAGTTGATCTGATGGTGATTAATTTTTTAAAATTTACATGTCTGAAAAATGATTTTAACATCTATTTCTGAATGTTGTTTCTGTGGATGTAGAATTCTAGGTTGACAGTATTTCTTTTTTTTCCCTTTCAGTATTTTAGAGATATTGTACACTATCTTAACGTTTGTATTGTGTCAAATGATGCAAATGATATCATTAGCCTTGTTCATCTCCATGTTACATGTTCTTGTACCCTTCTCTATTTGCTTTTAACATTTTCTCATTATTTCTGGTTTTAAGCAATTGACTATAATGTGCCATATGGTGTGGTTTTCTTTGTACTTCTTGTATTTGACGGTCATTGAGCTTCTTGGGTCTGTGAGTTTATTGTATTTGTCACATTTAGGCAATTATTTCTTTAAACATTTTTTTCAGTCCTCCACTTTATTTGATGAGTGACTCTCCGCCTTCCCACTCTAGGCCTGAAAGATTATGATTATCCTGTAGCTCATCAATTCTTATTTCTCTGTTTTCATTATTTTTTCTTTGTTGAATTCATTTTGAATAGTTTCTTTTGCGGTGTTTACAAGTTCACTAATCATTTTTATTCTAATGTCTTATCTATTGTTGATTTTATCCAATGTATTTTCCATATCAGACATTGTAGTTTTATCTCTAGTTTTTATGTGAGTCTTGTTTTACTTTTTAAATTTATGTAAGGGGAGCAAATTTCATGCAGTTCATATATACAGTTTTAAGAGTATAATGATACTTCTCACTCTATTCTCCCTCCCTTACTCACTCCTACTGACTCTCATAACTTTTTTTTTCCGATTTTTGTGGTGACATTCTTTGAATTTTCTTGATAACTACAAGGTTAATCCTTCACTAAATAAATAATTCAGCAGGCAATAAGTAGAAAAAACTGTTCTTAAGGAGTATAGACAAAGACAATAAATAATAATCAAATCTCAAGATGTCAATTTTGCTACCATATATTTACATTTTTGTACTCCTGTGTACTAGTTATCACAAATCAGGGAAAAGTGACATTCACCTTTTCAAAACTGGGTTATTTTACAAAACATAATGGTCTCCAGTTTCACCCATTTTCCTGCAAAAGAATTTCATTCTTTTATTGCTGATTAATATTTTATTGTGTATATATACCACAATTTCTTTATCCAGTCATCATCGTAGCTATTATGAGCTGAGCTACTATAAACAGAGAGGTGCAAATAACTTTGACACACTGATTTCAAGTGTTTGTATGAATTCCCGGAAGTGGAATGGCTGGGCCATTTTCAGTAGATCCATTTTCAGATTTCTGAGGTTATCTCCATATTGTCTTCCATAATGGCTATACTAGTTTTGATCCACATGTCTCCACTAACTTTTTAAGCATATGGAATGGAGTTAAAATAACTTTCAGTGACTGATAGTTCTAATATTCATGTCAGTTCTCAAGTCACTTTAACTAATTTTTTCCTTTATTATGGATCATATATATTCCTGCTCTTTTGGGTGCCTGGCAACTTTTAGGAGGGGGTGTACCAGACATTGTGAACTTTGCCATGTTGGGCATTGCACAGTTTTATATTACTGTAAATATTCTTGAGCTCTATCATGAGATGCATACAAGTTACTTGGACATAGATAGATCCTTTCCAGATTTGCTGTTTAGATTTGTTAGGACTAGAGCAATGAGCAGTCAAGGACTAATTATTTTCCACCACCGAGATAAGACCCTTCTGAGAATTATAGTTTAACAACATCTGAATCATGACGTTTTCCAGTTTGGCTGATGGGGATAGGCACTATTCCTGACCGTGTGTGTCAGGCACTGTTCTTTTCCATTCTTCAGGTGATTCTTTCGCCTACAGTAGTTTCCTTACAAGCATACCATGCACTCATCTGTCCTTTACTGAATACCTGATGGCAAACTTCCTTAGGCCTTTGGAGGCTCTCCCAGGTCCTACCTTCTGAATTCCAGACACCTGAGTTTGCTTAGACCCACCACTATGTCCCCTCAACTCACCAGGCTTTGCCTGCATTCTCCTTTTTATACTTTGAACTGGTGACTCCAAAACAGTGAAGCTAGGAAAATCAAAGGGCTCATCTCATTTGCTTTTCATCTCTTACAGGCCATAGTCCCTTACTCCCTGCTGTTCAGTATGTTTGAAACACTATTTCATATATTTTATCTGGTTTATGTTGTTGTTGTTTCCGGTGGTGTAGAAATTTATTCTTTCTTATCCTACATATTGTCTGCAGACATTCTTAGTATCTCCAATCATTAGAGCCAATGATAATTTGTAGCCCAGTTTCAGCTCTCATTTTTCAGAAATGTAGACAGCACCACATTATTTGTTTGTCATAGGTAAATCAATTCTAAATACCTGTGTTGAAAAATATACAGAATTCTTCATGCAGCAGTGTAGCTATCAAATTACTGATCGTTCTCTTTATAAAACACAGTACCCATTTGCTTAACAGCAGTTTGATTCAGGATTTTTTGGTTAGACTAATGTATCTGTTGAGTAACTTCGGATTACTTTTTCCTATTCTGTGATGTGTAAGTTTTGCCAACATTGTCTGCTGTCTCTAGCCCAA